TGTTAATTTGTTTCTTTATTTCCTTGTGTGGTTATCGTAGTTTTGAGAATACTTGGTGAAGATCTTGTAGGTGTTTGTCTCTGTCTGAGCAGATTGCATCTGCAGGTTGGAGCAGATGCGGTTGTACCACAGCGCTTGGCTGTAGACGATGGATCGTGTGGTGTGTCTGGGGTGGAAGCTGGAGGCATGAAGGTAGGCATAGCAGTCGGTGGGTTTTCGGTATAGGGTGGTGTTAACGTAGCCATCGCTTATTTGTACTGTGGTGTCTAGGAAGTGGACCTCCCGTGTAGATTGGTCCAGTCTGAGGTTGATGGTGGGGTGGAAGATGTTGAAATCATGGTGGAATTCTTCCAGGGTCTCCTTCCCATGGGTCCAGATGATGAAGATGTCATCAATGTAGCGTAGGTAGAGAAGGGGCGTGAGTGGACGAGAGCTGAGGAAGCGTTGTTCCAGGTCAGCCATAAAAATGTTGGCATATTGTGGGGCTATGCGGGTGCCCATGGCGGTGCCACTGGTCTGGAGGTATATATTGTCACCAAATTTGAAATAATTGTGCGTGAGGATAAAGTCACAGAGCTCAGCAACAAGTTGTGCTGTGCCATCATCAGGGATACTGTGCATGGTGCTGAGGTACAACCGCATCTTCTCCAACCTGCAGTTGGGTTTGTCCCATCCGTGTCCTGATGAGGTGTGAACTGCCTTTCTGCTCTCGGACAATTTTTGCATGGGCTTGCTTTAAGCCATGAGGACACATTTTCAGCCTCATAACTATATACATGAAATTATAACCTATAACATTACTGTAACAATGTTATTATCACTGTAACAAACATGCTCAGTGCATTATGAGCCTTATGAAGACACCCGACATGACAAACTTTGCATTGGATACCACACAAGCATTTTATAAAGATGAACATGGGGGTCTAGGGTGTTCCCCCGAGGTCCAGAGCGTCACAGTGTGGAACTCCATCTCTCTCTGTGTCCTTGGGTATTAGGTATCAATGTCCCCGGGAGTGGATTTGCCATTGTCTTCATGGCTTCTCCACTGATATGGGGTCTACCTCAGCCAGTCTTTTTCCAATGACCCATTTAGTATCAGGGCTCCTCTACACTTAAAACGCAACAGTGCCGACACTACCTATGCCTAAGGGAGGGCGTCCCCCATCAGCGTAGGTCCTCTGACTCCCCAACAGGCGGTAGCTAGCTCAACAGGATTCTTCTGTAAACCTAGCGCTGCCTATGTGGGGACTGAGATTGGCTGAACTATGCCGCTCGGGGTATGTGTGGATTTTTCACACCCCAAGAGACGTAATTTTCTACTGTAGGCCAGGACTCAGAAAGTCAGGTGCCAGTCATACCTGTATCTCTTAGCCAGCCTCGAGCACAAACAGGCCTTTTCCACCCACTGAGTAACAATGCAGCGTATAATGGAAACTGAGACTCACATAGGATTCATACAAATATTACAGACAATATCCACTTCATCACACCTGGATCTTACTAGTTAAGCTTATACAAGTCACATAACCATGTGTCCTTCTGATGGCCCCGTGGAGTTGGTGGTTAGCAACTAGCTTTCAGGGAGGAGAGTTCTGATCATTAACCCATATCCTTTCTGTGTAAAACCCATAACCTTTCTGTGCTTCAAAGCCAAACCTGTGAGATTGGGGGTCAGATGGTGGCACTGTCCATGTGGATTTAATCAGCTGTTGTGCATATTGCATTTTGGGAAATCCACTGCTGGGACTTTCCTCCTTAATCCCCTTAAGCCCAGGAATGCCCCAAAATTGAGTTTATACTTAAAGTGAAGATAGCTGACCAAGGAAATGCCTGCTGGGTCATAAGCGTAAAACCCTTTAGCGCTAAGTGACCAAAGCTGCTAATCTGTTCCCCATTGACTGGGGTTGAGGGGCGGGGCTGAGGAAGGTGCAAAACATTTATCACTCACATGCAGTGTCATGCATGAGAACTTGTTCTTTTTACTAAGTTTTTAGACAGTCCTCCTGATGTTCCCCGAACATGCCTTGTTGCAGCTAGTTTTACAGCTGAGTAACTTGTCAAATCATACATGCAGAAGGAACCACTTTGCTTGTGACGCCTGAGCACATAAGATAGTTTTGGCTTTTAAATTATACTGCAGTGCTTCTAACTCCGTTTGAAATCTCAAGCATGAAAAGAGTGTGGCTATTTTAAAAGCAAAACACATTTGAAACTCTGTCTGTACTCTCTTGAAAAGTCCCAAGTTCAGGATTCCCTGCTGGCAATGGCCTAGAACAGTTTTCGTGCGCTGTTTTAGGTAGGTGTGCCATCACAACCGCTGGTAGGGGAAACGTAGAATCCTATATTCATGTAGGCTATTAACCCATATTTAAAACTTGTTTACAACTTGTTGCCATTCACCTTAACTCACTATTATCGGGATTTAGTGTCATATGAACACATAATCCTCTAGCATTAGCACACAAAGTGATAGCTTTGAAATACATCCCATTATTGAACACGGCTCGTAATGTTTAGGCTGCATGTCTTCAGGCTTGACAGAAGCTGTCGGTGTCTGACAGATGGGAACCAGGTTACCTGTCACAAGTCACTCGGTAACACTCATCACACTGTTGTGGTTCAACTTTAAAACTACCAATCTTCCCCCACTTCTGCTACTGCTTGCCTTTAGGAGAATTGTTAGGCTGTTTTGTATAAGGCAGCGTGCCTCTAGTTAGAGCATTTTAATCATTTGTTGAAATAAGGAAGTGCTTAAGTGAGATGTAAAGTCTTGCTTGTCTCATCTGGGAGATGTCTCTCTATGTACTCTCTGGCTTTATAGTCTATGGGAATCTCTTCCGTTAGAGATCTCAGCCAGTTAATAAGCATCCCTGTCCTCCTCTAGCACCAGGACTTCACCGAGGACGTTGCCACAAGACAATCCCTGGAGGTGCTGCCAGGCTCTGGGTATTAGTACAGGGTGAGTTTGGGCACGCAGGGTGGACCCTGAGCATTATGGGAAATCCCAGCAGGCTGTGTACCCTGGACCACAGATTTTTTGTTTGTTTGTTTTTTGCTGTCTCTGACAAAGCAGCCTGGGCTTCAAAGCCAAGCATCCAGCCAACTGCCCAACCTGCTAAATCCTCACACGGTATTAAACCGCCCCGCAGAGCTGCACATACACTGCTGTGCTTCTGCTGAGCTTGGCCTGGTGCTGGAACTAGGGGTGCTAGTTTGGTCCAATGGCTCTCAGCACCCCCACTCTACAAACTGTTCCATGCCAGCGCTTGGCATGTGGACTGCGGCTACCAGAAGTTCCAGCAGCGTGTAGGGAAGGGAATCATTCCGCGCGGCTGCGGGCGGAGTGCGGGGGGGGGCACGCTCTGCCTCTCCCAAGATGGCGCCCAAACAAAGCCATTTTTCCATTTCCTTCCGCCTCTACCAAAATGGCGTCCCATTGGTGCCAACGCCCAACTCTCGCGAGAGCAGGCCCCTATTTATTAGGAGCGACTGGCAAAGCCCGACCCCCTGCGGCCGCCTGAGGCGAGAGGCCCAACACTGAGGTGCGGGGGGGCTGAAGGCTCGGTTCGACGCCGCCTGGGGGCTGAGCGGGGCGTCCCTGCGTGGAGCCCGCCGGCCACGTGCAGGGCCGGAGCCAGCTGCTGCGGAGGGAGCGAACAGACCCGGGCCTCCCCTGGGGTCCGTTCTGGGGCCGCTTCTCTTCATCAGCGTTTTAGAGAATGGTGTAGCGAGCACGTGTATAAAGTTTTTGGACGTTACCAAGCCGGGAGGGGTGGCAAGTGCTTTGGTGGATGGGATTAAAATTCAGAATCATCTGGTCACACAGGAGAAATGGTCTGAAGTCAATAGGACCAAATTCAATAAGGACAAATGCAAAGTACTCCACTTAGGAAGTGCATCCAAAGAAGTGGGCTGTAGTCCACGAAAGCTTATGCTCTAATAAATTTGTTAGTCACTAAGGTGCCACAAGTACTCCTGTTCTTTTTGCGGATACAGACTAACACGGCTGCTACTCTGAAACCTGTCACTTAGGAAGGAACAGTCAGTTAGACACATACAAAATGGGAAATGACTGCCTAGGGAGGAGTACTGCAGAAAGGGATCTGGGGGTCATAGTGGATCACTAAATGAGTCAACAGTGTGTAACACTGTTGCAAGAAAAGCAAACGTCCTTTTGGGATGTATTAGCAGGAGTGTTGTAAGACACAAGAATCGGGGTAACCGTGTTAGTCTGTATCTACAAAAACAACAAGGAGTCTGGTGGCACCTTAAAGACTAAGATTTATTTGGGCATAAGCTTTCGTGGGTAAAAACCTCACTTCTTCAGATGCATAGAATGAAAATTACAGATGCAGGCATTATATATTGACACATGGAGAGCAGGGAGTTACTTCACAAGTGGAGAACCAGTGTTGACAGGGCCAATTCAATCACGCCTAGAAATGGGCTTGAATAGGGACTGGGAGTGGCTGGCTCATTACAGAAGCAGCTTTTCCTCTCCTGGAATTGACACCTCCTCATCTATTATTGGGAGTGGACTACATCCACCCTGATTGAATTGGCTCTGTCAACACTAGTTCTCACTTGCGAAGTAACTCCCTGCTCTCCATGTGTCAGTATATAATGCCTGCATCTGTAACTTTCACTCTATGCATCTGAAGAAGTGAGGTTTTTACCCATGAAAGCTTATGCCCAAATAAATCTGTTAGTCTGTAAAACACAAGAAGTAATTCTTCCCCTCTACTCTATGCTGATAAAGCCTCTCCTGGAGTATTGTGTCCAGTTCTGGGTGCCACATTTCAGAAAAGATGTGGACAAATTGGAGAGAGTTCAGAGAAGTGCAATAAAAATGAGTAAAGGTCTAGAAAACATGACCTATGGGGGAAGATTGAAAAAATTGGGTGTTTTTAGTCTGGAAAAGAGAAGACAGAGAGGGGACATAACAGTTTTCAAGTATGTAAAAGGTTGCTAGGAGGAGGAGGGAGAAACATTGTTCTTCTTAACTAGGGTTACCATATTTCAGCAAGCAAAAAAGAGGACGGGAGTAGCCCCGCCCCTGCCACTCCCACTTCCCGCCCCCCAGAACCCCCAACCCTCCCCCGTTCCTTGTCCCCTGACAGCCCCCTCCTGGGACCCCTGCCCCTAACTGCCCCCCAGGACTCCACTCCCTAT